ACCTTCTACATGTTTATGTTTGCGTTTCTTTACTTTTGTTTCCTCTTCAACTTTACTCTGATGGCCATTTCCATTTGTTTCAAATTCATGTTTATGTTTGCGTTTCTTTACTTTTGTTTCCTCTTCAACTTTACTCTGATGGCCATTTCCATTTGTTTCAAATTCATGTTTATGTTTGCGTTTCTTTACTTTTGTTTCCTCTTCAACTTCACTCTGATGGCCATTTCCATTTGTTTCAAATTCATTCTCCACGCTCTCCTTTCCTTTCTTGGACTTTTTACTCTTTTTTAGCTCTGACTGGTTTTCTAATTTCAAATCTTTTTTCTCCTTCTTTTTGTTCTTTTGTCTCTCTTCTTTTCGTTCTCTCTTATTCTTTTTCTTCTCAACTTTATCATCTGTAACTCCATTTTCTTCTGCCACTGTTTTTATCTCAGTTTCTGCAGACTGGCGCTCTTCCTTCCGTTGTGGTTTGTCCTGTTCTTTTTCATTTGAAATCTTTTGTTGAAAAAGAAGATTATTACAATTTTTACATGCCTTGTTTTGACACTGCAACTTTCCCCTACTAGAAAATTCATGAAGAACATTAATTTCTCGAAATCAATTAAATTTCTTACATATGGTAACACCAGATACCTGAGAAATAGCACGAGTGTGTCTGATTCCTCTTTTAACTAAAGACTAAATGCTAATTAACGTCAAAGAAGAAATGTTATCTTACAACATATTTAATTTTTAGTTGAAGTAAATGTCCATGTGTTTTAACATAATTGCTAAATGTAATTAAGAGAGTGACAACTCTTTGATTTACACAAGCAAAACATTACAGCAACATACAGAACCTATTCCCAAATATACAGCCCTTGAGTAATAATCTTAGTTTTGCCACCCAGTTCCCTGTCTTGGGATATGTCTGGGACAACAAACCGTTATTGCATGATGTTAACAAAGGCACTTCTGGTTGTTTTAATTTTACTTTTCTCACCTTAATATATTTGGTCTTCTTCTAACATTCCTTGGCTGATAATTATTTTCTTGTTGAAGAATGAATATATTAATGAAAAAAATAATATTTAACTTTAAATTTAATAATTACTAGTGAAATACAATTACTGAAACGTTAGTGTGGCTATTTAGTAAGATAATAGATCTTTATACAAGGCAACTTAACACCAACATGGTTTTGTAAGGAGTAATTTCAATTAAATTTGAATTCTACTTAAGAATGTCCATTGAGTACATAAAATTCAAGGTATGTTTTACAAAGAATATCTTAAAGAGTTTTTTTAAGAACTCTTAAAGGTGCATTGAAATGATCTGAGCAAGAAAGCTGTGCTATATATTTTACTTTAATGCTATGCTCTATGAACAATGTAAATTGTTTGTATTTAAATAGAAGTTTTTCAGATTGAAGATTTATTTTCTTTAAAAATAAGTTTAAGTCAAGAGAGAATATTTTATGACTTAAATGAAGTTCTGTTGACTCAGTATTAATGTTCCAGCAAAACAATGTACTTCAGATTCAGTGTCCAGAGCTAATATTATGTTCATATCTTTTAAAAAATGTGTTTCTTTCCTTCCTGGCTCTTATATTTGGATTCTTCAGAAAAACTGCAAATAGATGTAACTGGAATCATCAAATCAGAAACATGAAGCATAATCAACAGGGGATTAATGCCAAATCTATGCCTACGCTCTTCCTCAAAAGAATGTGGGGGGAGAGCATCTTTACCTCAACAGAGAAATGAGATCTGTGACAGCTTTCTAATAGAAGCAATACATGTACACAATCACAACAACACCCTACCAAAACATGCTAAGCTAGTAATGAAATAGCAAAGAATTAGGCACTGACAAAAATGTCAGGGTGAGTCCACAATTTGGACAAAGAAGTGGGAGGAATTTCTGTCATGAACTGGAGGATCTTCTCTCTCCCCACTAATGAGATCGGTGAGCTGGGTGCTGTTAATTTTTCAGTCCAATACACATAAATTTGGGGCCAATAAAGTTCTGAAAAGATATTTGATTCCATCTCAGTGTGCACTAAAAGACTGGAACCAAAGATAAAGGTAGTGGGTTTTCCTTTCTTTATGTACTAGTAGCATTAAGTTGAATTAGCCTTCTGATTATCATGTCACAATCGTGTCACTGTGTCCAAGTTTTCAATCACAACCTACCCAGTATTCACAACTACTTCAGCAATAGTCTGTTCCACAAGTAAGCAATTCAGTCTAGAAATATTATATTATAACAGAATCCATGGTAACAACAGGAGACAATGTTTCTGCCAGCATCTACAAAAGGAGTCTGAAAGGCTTTCCTTCCAGCATTTTGAACCACATTCTTGTTGTATGATGTTGTACCTCTAACTTAACTTACCTTTCTGGTTGCTTCTGAGAAAACATCCCACACTTGATCTTGTAAAGTGCTGTCAGTAATTCTCAAACTGTTCTTGATCCAATTCTGTGCAGGGAAAAACCAGCAATAACTGAAAATGTGCACCTCTGATTTTCTTTCTTAATTACCATATATTTGGTTCTTGGATTTATTTTTCATTTAAGAATCTAATCACTGCTTCTGACTAAGATCTGGTTACAAGTTACTGCTATGAATCTCTCAAGCCTCCTTACTAAAATGTACTATGGCTATGTACATAATGCCTATGTACTGTTATGAGGCTACACCACTCTGAATTGCCTCACCAACAGCAATCCCAAAGAGGTTAAGTATATACAAAAGATAATCCTCAAGCTTTTGAATACAACTGGTTATGTTAATGTCCTACCAAACCTTCTGACTGTTCCCATGAGTTAAAACATTAAGGATCTGATCTTATTTATTTGTGTACTGGACAGATGGTCATGCTCCTCAATGGATATCTTAGTTTATTACAGAAAAGTAAAATTTAAACAAATGTCTCGATGTAAACATTTGAAAGTTGTTTGGGTTATTGCAGGAGCTCCTGGTGAAACAAAGCCATAAATTTCTACTTATCTGTTTACACTATCAGCAACAGATCAACTTTCAGAACCATGGAATTCTATATAAAACCTAATGTAAAGATTTTTGCATTGCACTGAAAATCCCAAGAAAGGTGCATTAGTAAATTGAACAATGAACTGCAAAAACATTTGATCTTTCACTGCAACATATATTACCAAAAAGAAAGCGGCTTCTTGACAATATAATTTTCCCTGCTTAGAACATTAACTTTCTAGAAAAGTATTTTAACCTTCAGCTCACTAGCAGCAATTTCACCACAGTTCTATTAGGTTCTATTTGAGTGCTTTGGGAGCAAGAATGATCTTCTCTCAGCCTCACCATCTGAGGCACAAAACAGAGAGGGTCAAAAAAAAAAGGCAGCTTGTCAGTAATTCTTTACTGATACCACATGAAACATTTGGAATTTACTTTAGTGAAGCGTGCAGTGTGGAAGATTCTGTCAGAATACTGAGTAACAGGAAAACTCTCAAAACAGGATCTTGCCTTCACCAGGGAAAAACAAAGCCAGAGAAATAAAAAATCTTTAAAAGTATGTCTAAGAATTTGGACATTCAATAGAAATTGGAAATAGGGAAAAAAGAAAGGTATTGAAAAAAAGAACAATTTAAAGATTATGCTTAAATGGTGAGTCTCTGGCTTAATATCTAATTAAACTGGCACACAAAGATTCCTTTTAAGCACGGAAATGTATTTTACAAATATTGCCTATTTGAAAGTCAGGCATTACACCATCTATACCAATGCCCAAAAAAGCAATTTGTCCCACCTTTGTTAAAAGAGAGTAGCACTTCCTAAGAAAGTCTATTTTTAAGCTCACTGCACGGATTACTACAAATCTCCATTAAAACATACCTGAAACTTTACTTTTTTTCTTGGAATGTTATCAAAGGCACGCATCTGCTCCAGGATGTTCCGCACTTTAGGGCTTATATTTGGCTTCTTCATTACTTCATGGATTTTCTAAATAAGAAAAACAGAATTAAATCAGAAAAGCAGCATAAGGATCAAATGGTACATCCAAGGTGTGCAAGTCTGAAGTACACTGGAGAGAATCACCCAGCACCCACAGCTGGTATAGTCTGTTCACAGGAAATGTTCAAAATGCATGAGAAAAAGACTGATCTTTGGTTTAATCACAGATCATTAGATGCATCAAAGTTACCTATCTAAGCATTTATACCTATACAGTAAGCACAGGCAAGCAGGACTGCTCACCAGTGCTTTGTGATGTACAAGTTACAATCTATAATAAATACATTTTAAAGTAAAGAAACTGTACCATATTAGGGATTCTTGCAGCATGAAAAAGACCTTTATTAAGAAAAGCAATTGTCAACTTATTGGTTTTTTGCAAGCTTCTGGAGTTAATTCTGACAAATCAGGCTTACTTAGATGCCACAGTTTGATATGTTTTTCTTTTGGCAGCAGTGCCAGCTTCCGCAACTATTAATCCCTGTAAGACTGTTCAGGATATTCCCATGCTAAGGGTGTCAGCATAAGAGAACAGAGATTAGGCCAGGGCAGTTCCTCATGGCAGTTCCTTGAACAGCACTGCTGCTTGTGGGGGTGATAAATGGCTGAGCTTCCTGGTACTTAAAGACGCAGCCACTGGACACTGGAGAGTCTTCCTGTACTAAGGTTTTGTGGATGTGTTAAGACTATTGGAAAAGGGTGTTTGGTAATAATCCCTCAGCTTTCTGTGTAGGAAGAACTTACTTCTGAGGCAGGCTTACAATGTTCATGAGCAGTAGCTCTCACATCATGCTGCCTTTAACAATGTCCTCAAACCATGTTCAATCTCAACCACTACTCATCTTTGACTGTATTACTCATATACCTTGCGTGTGTGTGTAGCTTAGTACCTTGTTAGATTGTGTTCTATACAAGATAGAAATCAACAAATCTATGTATAAAGGTGATTAACTTTAAAGGTGTTACTAATGGGGTTTTAAAAATGTGTTTGAGTTCCTTCCACAAATCAACGAATAGCCTTAAGAGGGCAGATTCTTGCACAAGACAGAAAGGGTATTAGACAACTGTGCTGGAGCCTCTCTTGTTCAACATATTTACAAAATATCTGACAAGACGACAGGAAAATTTTCCTGATGATTGTGAAGCTATTCAGGATAAGGACTATAAGGACTGCAGAAAGATTTTAAGAAAACGAGTGACTAGGTAATAAAAGGGTAAATTACAGCCAACACAAATTCATGTAAAGCAGGATGCAAAGGAAAAGCAGTCTTAACTTCACATCTAAAATGGTAGGCTTTAAGTTGACCGCTGGAGCGTAGACACAAGATCTTGGGTTTAAAATAGCCAATTCCATGAAAATGCCAGAACAATGATCAGCAGCAGCAAAAAAACAAAACAAAAAACCAAAAACAGATTGGCTGGCAAAAATCACTTTCAAAGATACAAAGAAGGACACAGAAAACATCATTATGACACACAGTAAATCTATGGTTCATCCATATCTTGAACTCTACTTCACAAACATACAGTAGAACTGGGAAGACTTCAGAAGACCAAAGAGATAACTTACATATGAAGAACAACTGAGCAGAGTAGAATTTCTCAGCCTGGAGCACACACTCAGTGTGCAACTGAGAAAACTACATTAAATCAAACTAGTAAGAGATAAATTCAAAACAAACAAAAGATACATTTCTTACCAGGATAAGCAAAAGACCTACCTAAGACATGCCAAAAGAAATTTGAGGATATTGGGAAAAACAGATCTCTGGTTTGATCCAGTATAGCCTTTCTAGCGTCTGTAACAATTATAAACAATAGTTATTTATCATATCTGGATATAATACAAACTTACCTGAATCCACTCCTGCTGTTTGGCATCTCCTTTGTTAGTTTTGGCTTCAAAACCTTTTCCACCATATTTCTGGTCTTCACTTACGCACTTCACATGTTCCTTATAGTCATCACCCCTGAACATACGAGATTTTTAACCACAGGTCACAGAGATGCTTCAGTCCTTTGAAACGTGCAACACCTAATCAACAAGTTCAGTATGTTCCAAAAGGAACATTATTGCCAATTTCACTCTCTCTGCAGTAGCAGAGTAAATAACAGCTGTTGATGACCAGAAGCTGAAAGCTCTGTCGCTGATGCCTGTTTACTGTTGAGGTTTAGTTGTCTATGAGGTTCAAACTTGGATGATTAAGCCTAAGTTTCTATAAAAACATGTATATTTTTAAATACAAATATTATTATTCAGACATAGCCACATTTAATTCTAAAAGACCACAGGAAAAAACTTGTATTTGTGACAACCTCTGCAGAGTGAGAAAAGCTATTTCACATCCTTTACGTACCAGAAATCCTTGCCACAATCCATGCAAGACAGGCACTGACAGTTTCTGCAGATGTTCACATGCTTTTCAACCTGTGCTTTCTTCACAGCTTCTCCACATGCATTGCATGTGAAAACCACCATGTTGGCGAGTGGTCAGGAGCTTCCAAGAAGTGAGTATAACCTCCTTCCTCCACATACAAGCACAACCCTAGAAACACAAAGAGATCTTACACTTGCGGCTTGAAAAAAACACGTGGATGGCCGAAAAGCACCTGCGCGTGCACCCACCCACAGACGGGGCGAGCAGTCCCATCCTGCAGGTGCAGGAGCTCGCCTTGCCTGACACCCTGAGCACAGGAGAGAGCAGTGACCCGGGAACCAGCACTCCCAGTACTCACCCCCGCAACCTGGGAACCAGTAACCCCCAAACAAGGAACCAGTAACCCCTGTACCCGCCACCGCAAACGAGGAATCAGCAATCCCTGTACCTGCAACCCCAACCTGGGAACCAGTGACCCCCAATCGAGGAACCAGTGACCCCCACACCACCCCAAACCGGGAACCAGTAACCTCCATATCCATGACCCCAATCGAGGAACCACTAAACCCCATACCCACCGCCCCAACCCGGGAACCAATGATCCCCCATTACCACCACCCAACCAGGGAAACAGTAAACCCCAACCCAGGAACCAGCAATCCCTGTACCCCCTACCCCGATCCGCCTCCTTTTCCCGGCACGACCTCCCCCAGCCCTTCCGTCCCGCTCCCCTCAGCAGACCCGTCCCGGCCGGGTCCAGGCGAGCGGCGCTGCCGAGGGGTGGCCCGGCCACACGGCGTACCCGCCACCCGCGCACCTGGCCGGCAGCCGCTGCTGCTGTGCCGTGCCGCCGCTCCTGCTCCCTCTCCCATTCCCCTTCCCGTTCCCGTCCCCTGCACCCCCGCACCTCAGCGGCCGCCGCCTCCCGCAGCCGCCCCGCGCGGCACGTGCCGCCGCCCCGTTCCCGCCGCGCCTCGGCCCCGCTCCGCCCGGCGCCTGCGCCGCCCCCGCCCCGCCCCGCGCTGCGCAGCGGAACGGGAAGGGCAGGGGCAGGGAAGGGGAAGGGAAAGGGAAGGAGCGGCGGCGGAAGTGGCCGGTGGCGGGGATGGAGCTGGGAGGTGGCCGGAGCCGGTAAGCGCTGGGCTGGGCAGGGCCGGGCCGGCTCCCGCCCCTCGGCCGCTCTCCCGCCTCAGCCGGGCGGCGCCGCGTCCCCCCCGCCCGCAGCCCCGGCCCTGCGGCAGCGGCTGCTCCGACACCGGCCAGAGCCCGCTCTCTCCCCTCGGGGCCCTCTCCCCTGTACCCTCTGTGCCTTTCTCCGTGAGACACCTCGAGCCTGAGCTCAGCTGGGCCAGGCTTAATCATACTTACACATCATAAATAGCGACTGTGTTGCGGGGGTTCCCCCTGTTCGGGAGCGGCTCTCCATGCTCGCCTTTCCCGCTGGGAGACAGGCACCTGATGGCTGAGAGGCAGTTCGCTGGTTGTCAAAGTATTTGCAGGATGCCGTGGTGGGAGACGTACACAGAGAAAGCAACTGCTTGGCAAACAGATGTGGTTTCTTTATTTGAAAGCCTGGTAGAAGACATGATAAACGTTCATAGAGAAGAAGCACAATGTAATAGCCCACGTTGTAATACAGCAGGAGGCAGTGAATCACAGAGTAACAGGATAAACTAAAAAGTGGAACCTTTGGTCCTCATGAGAATTGAGAATAGGGCAACCACTTTCTGGTCATGTTTAACCCAAAGTGGTCTTTCTGCTTCATTAGTTAGAACGGTAGAAGTTCCAATTGTAATAGTCGGAGTTCTCATTTACAAGTGTGCAGGGGAAGAATTACATCTTTCTTTAGAAAAAAAAGAAGTATAGAATTAAATGTAAATATGTTCAGTGGGAATTACTTGTATTTTCAATCTGTTCTAAGAAGGATTTTTTTCATTTGAACATTATATTGTATTAAAAAATAACTATGTCTAATCAAAGCCACATGGGAAATGTATTTAGCTAGGACAGCAACAAATATGTCTTCAATAATACTAGTACTATATTCTCCCCTTTCAGTTTAGAGGGTGAGGAAACTGAGGTTTACCTTTACAGATGATATTAATTTTGCAGGCATGATGTGTTTTTGCCTTAGAATCTAGTTCTTGTCCAAGTTGTCTAAATCAAGGTGTGATTTTTTCTGGTTATAGAGTTCAATTTATTGGCAGCACCATTAGATTTTTGCAGAAGCTCTTTGTTGTAAGCAAAACTTCATTAAAATCAGTATTTCCTATGTATATTGCTGTGCCTCTACAGGTGAGCAGTACTGTGACTCATCTTTAATCAGAAAAATGTCATTAGAGCTCACATTGCAGGTGTAAACTGTAGTCTGTTTCCTTCGGAAGCTAAAACAAATTGTGAAAATGTTCCTAATATTTTAAATTAATTTTGCATTATAATATTTAAAATTCATCTTAGCATTTTATTTCATTGTAGGTAATTTAAGTGATTTTCTAGCATGGACACTGTTGCTAGCCATAGTTGTCATCTTCTCCAGCAGCTACATGAACAGCGCATTCAGGGGCTTCTCTGTGACTGCATGCTGGTGGTAAAAGGTGTATGCTTCAAAGCACACAAAAATGTATTAGCTGCTTTCAGTCAATATTTCAGGTATGTGATAGAAAATTCTTCTTTTTAAAATGATAATTAAATGCTGTTGGTTGAGGTTTTCTTTGAGAAGGGTATTTTTTTCTGGTAGTTGCAGAGTAAAGTAACTGTTGGGAATATAATGAGAAAAGGGAAATTGTTTGTCCAGAGATAAATCTGTGTCAGGTATTCATACTATGCTGTTGGATTGTTGGCATTTTCCTGATCCTTACTTGCTTATAGTGCCTCATATAATGGATTCTGGCATAGACCTGCATTCAGTATTTCATTAAGGAAAGACAACTGCTTAGAAGGAACATAGAGTACATGAACAGAGCCAGATAAGGGATATAACTGATGAAACATTATTCACTTCTGAATAATGTGACTTGTTTCATCAATCATATATTCAAAATAAAATTTGACCATATAGGTTACTATCGAATCTCTGTTTAGAACAGATTCTCAGAGATAACAACTGTGTTTTAAAGTAATACAGGTGACCCATTATGCCATATCGCTGGTTTCTTTCCCTTCTGTGCTGCCCTCAATTGACCCTCCAAATTTTGGAGGATGCTGCATCTCCTGACTTAGTGTTTTACATTACTTATCTAACTGCTGTTAGATCTGGCAGTTTTTAGACCTTGTTTTTTGAAGCATCTCTAAAGTAAGAAAATTATTTCTATGTTACAACCAGGGAAAAAAGATAAGAGGTTCCTTTTTCTCTTCTAGTGGTGTAATCCTGCTGATGAAGTGCAATTATGCTCAAAGACTGAATTTTTAAAGTAGTTAAAAAGAACTAAGCACTCAACTCCTATTAAAATTCAATAGGATATAAGTGGCTAATTAATTTAGACTCTCAACCCAGATCTGTTCATTATAGTTCTGGTTTTAATTTAGATAGGATAGTCTCGATTTCTGAAAGAATTTTGATATGGACACTGGCTTCAGAGTAGCCTCTGCATTTCTAAAGTTTAGGCATAGGGTCTCATTTCCTTAAGATTTAGAGCTCATTGATATTATGCCCACCTTTAAACAAAACCTAATTTGAAAGTTTGGCCACAAAGAGGAACCATCAAGTTTGGGGCATTTTGTAGCGAGGAAAATAACTACATAGGAGTGACCTGACCCCGTTTGTTTATATGTCATTGTTTGCTGTGAGAGTATCAGGTTAGAGACTGGGGATTTTAATGGGAGGGTGTGAAGTTCTTGATTGAGACAGAGTATGAACCCACTTAATCTAGGACTAGTTGTGAATGTGAAGAGCTACAGCTCTGAATGCGAGAATACTTTACATCTAATAGTAAGTTTTGTGAATTCATTTACTTTAATGATTTAATGACAATTCAGTGGGTATTGGTTGCACTGTTGGTTTAGGCTTACGTACTTGTGCTCTTTATTATTCTTTTACTTGGTTGTTGTCTAGTGCCAGTAAAAAAAGTACTTCTTTGGATATGAGATAATAGATTGAAAATAATGCCATCTTCTTGCTTAATGTCGCCATCCTCCTGTGTATTTGTGGTGAAAGAACTAATACTAAGAACTTTAATAAGATTTACTGATAGAGTTTGATGGACAAGCTCAGTTGCCAGAAGAGTTTAGCTGACTTGGAGGTGTTATCTTCTCCCTTTTACTAGCAAATTTCATATGTCCTGTTTTTATTGCCATGATGAAAGGAGAAACACCATTCTAAGTAAAACAATGTTTGAAAATTGTCCGTAAATACTCCACTGCACTTAATATGTGAATAACAGTGGATAGGGAACCACAAGGATAGGGTGTCATTTCAAAACATTAAAAATACAAAATTGAAATTATATATGGATCATTTGTTTTGATTTATACTTTAAGTGCACTAATGTAGGACTAATATATGACAAGTAATTGAGACATTTTGAGACTGTAAAAATACAGCACTCTAGGTAAGGCCTTAGAGTATAAATTGTTTCATACCAGACAGTCTATTTGAGGTGTATGTGTATTTTTCTTATTAAAGTGCCTGTGAATAATTTCTGTTTGTATTTGAGTATTTGCCTTATTTTATCAGGACCCTTTTCCAGAATTCTTCAGGCCAGAAGAACGATGTATTTCACTTGGACATTAAAAATGTAGGTGGCATAGGCCAGATCTTGGACTTCATGTACACGTCTCACCTGGATCTTAGTCAGGACAATGTACAAGCTATGCTGGACATTGCACAGTGTCTCCAAGTGCAAAATGTGCTGAACATTTGCCACACCTTTTTAAAATCTTCTACAGCTGTAGAGCAAGCAGCCAGCATGCCTTGTAATAGTGTATTTTCACTGCAGAATACTTTGGCTACAGATGGGAGCTGTGCCAGTGACGGTTATGGGACAAACCTGTTGCACGAGTGCTCATCTGACACACAGGCCAATAAAGTCTTGGCTGACCACCATTCTCATGCATCGCAGTCTGTTAATCTGCACACACCCCCAGGTGACGCACAGAAACAGCCACAAGACTCCTTAGATGGCAACTGCACAGAGCTTCCATTTAAACAACCAAATTACTATTACAAACTACGCAACTTTTACAGTAAACAGTTCTACAAACAAAATGCTTGCTCTGATCATGAGAGAGGAGCAGAACCATCCTTTTCTTACAACACACCCACAGAAATAAACGCAGTGGAGAATAATTCTTGCACTGTCAGTCACTCTGAGTGTATTCTGGAAACTTCTGATCATTTACCATCAAACTTTCTGGTTCAGTCTGGGAACGAAGCTGCTCCAGACCAAGATGCAGAAAGCACACTTATGCAGCCAACCAAAGAGATGCGGCTGAAAAAGGCAATACACCTCAAAAAGTTAAATTTTCTGAGATCTCAGAAATCTGCAGAGCAGCCACCTGAGCCTAAAAGGGATGACAATAGAGCACCAGAAGTAATTGAACCTGTAAATGAAAGTACCACAGACATGACAAATGTTAGAGTTACTGATGAAAAAGAAGATGAAGATTTAGTGAATTCTGAGAATTTTGAACAAACTGTTGAAATGGAAAGATCTCAAGGTTCTTTGGAACAAGAAGGACAATCACAGACTCTTCAGTCACAGAGACAATATACTTGTGAATTATGTGGAAAGGCTTTCAAACATCCAAGCAATTTGGAGCTTCATAAAAGGTCTCATACAGGTACAGTTATCAGTTACTTGGTCTGCAGACCAAATATTTCAGTTAAAGAGACTATCTTGCAG